CACCCTTATGCTACTTCATAGATTGATAGAAACTTAAACGGTCAGAGCTGTGTTTCTTGTAAAAATTATAGAAACGGGCAGAAAGACCGATTGGGTCAATAGCATTTTTGTGTAGGAAATAAAGATTATTTATATATATTATAGAAACTCAAGCCACATTTATGCTGATACCAAAATTTATATAAAACCAAACCGCACGTACGATTTTCGAACAAATTATAGAAACTCAAGCCATTTTAAATTTGTATCAAATTTGTCTCTAAATACTCTAACGGCCTTTGCGTTCTTTGAAAAAATGATAGAAACTCAAGAAACTCCTATGCTGCTTCAAATTTTTATAGAAACTCTAATGCTGTTTCACCAATTTATTTAATCTCAAACGCCTCTTCGGTCTGTTGTTTGAGAAAAATATAAACTCCATTGACATTTATGCTATTTCAAATTCGTGCCTAGAAACTCAAAACGAACTTATATTATTTGGAAAAGTGAGACAAACTCAAGCCATTTTTATGCTGTCTCATTTTCGTGTCTAGAAACGCAATCCGCTCTTATGTTTGTTGAAAGAATTATAGAAACTAAGGCCACTCTTATGCAGTTTCAAAGATTTTTAGAAACTCAAGCCACTCTTAAGCTGTTTCACAAATTTAGAGTGTGTGTTAGTTGAAAAAATGATAGAAACTCAAGTAGCTCCGATGCTGTATCAAAAATTTGTTCAAATTGGAACATTTCTACCACCGAGGTCGAGACGAAACAAAAAAAAATACAAAATCACTTCTATCACCTCTCACCATCATCCGGTACTTACACTTGGTATGTTGTCATTGGTGCAAACTCCCTCTTGCAGCAACCGATCGCGGATCTCCCAGGCGAAGATGGACGGGCACTCTCTTTTGTAGGAGGAGATTTTCGAGACGACTTCAGCGGTCGCCACTCTCGGCTTCGAACCCCCGATGGCTCGAGGTCGAATCGAACCCGTTTCGTAGTACCTGCAACAAAAAATCGACGCCAATCAGAGATCAACAACGTGCAGAAAACACTACACATTTTATTTACAATACACCACTAAAGCAGCCCCTTTTCTTCTGGGGAAATTGGTATTCCGTGAAAATGAAGGCAGGCAATCACCTGGAAGACTTTGTGTGTTATCTACTAGATGAAACTGCAGATTCTGGACAACAGAACAGAAATACCACGTAACTAAAATCCATATTGGGACCTCTAGAGGACTCAGGTGGCGTGTTATTAAAGAATTTTGAACAAGCTGTCTATGGGAAGTCTTTTTTCCTGGATCGGCGCTATTTTGAGGCTTTCTAAAGTGTAATGCGCCCCTGGTCTTGTGGAACTTAGTCGTTACCGCCGAAATGAGAAGGCCATCCGACTGCAAGTAGGCCCAACAGAGTCAAGAAGACCCTAATTTATACAACACGTGCTTGCATTTTGGTGGTGGTTTATTAGGCTTGTAATCTAAAATTAAGCTCCAAAATGTGTTTTGAATGTTTTATATCTGTGTTTTTCAAATAAATATTGTAAAAATGCCCCCAAGTG